GGTCGGACTCTGTTATGAAGAGCCAAGAGTGACAGGAGCTCCGCTATGTGCTAAGTGTTCGAGCGTGTACTCTATGTAGCTTTAGAGTGTCTAAAGCTAACAGATGGTGAATCGATGTAAGTGAACTGATCGATCCCCCCTGTTGGGAGACACCGCATCCCCTTTTATAGATGAAGGGGACGGCCTTACAAGAGAGAGAGAGTACGTATGGTATTAAGTCTTGTTGCCCACGCCGTCGGGTACAAGATGATGGTAGGTGTCCACAACACTGTTGTTGTCAGACGCATGTGGGTGGTTTTACCGTGTTCACCGTGTATGGTAAATGACGGTGCCCACAACACTGTTAATACCCAAAGGTATGTGGGGAGTCCCACCGTGTTCACCTGGTATGGGGATTGATGGTGCCCATAACACTGTAGGGTAAAACTTCGGCGCCCACAACACTGCTTGGGTTCTGACATGTCTAGAAGGTTGTAGGGCACCCTTCTGACATGCCCTGTCAGTACTGTACTGCATGCGTACAGGGTACGATCCTCGGTATTACAGTTTGACTCGAGTGTCCTACTTTACCTGCTCCGCCCGTTTACCTGGTCCTCACCGAGCGGGCGTCCCCGGTCGGTTGGCCCCAGTCGGCTCCGACTGCGCCAGTCAGAGAAGAGCTATAAGCAGAAATACGGTGCATCTCCGGTCGGAGACGTGGGTCGGAGTCGGAAGCAAGCGGCGTTCTTCTTTGGCCAGGCCTTCCGGTCGGAGAGGCGGGCCGGACTCAGAAGAGAGCGCCGTTCCTCTTTGGCCAGGCCTTCCGGTCAGAGAGGCAGGATGGAGTCGAAAGCGAGCATTGTTCCTCTTCGGTCAAGCCTTCCGGTCAGAGAGGTGGGCCGGAGTCGGAATCGAGGCCTTCCGGTTGGAGAGGCGGGCCAGAGTCTGGAAGCGGGCGTCGTTCCTTCTTTGGCCAGGCCTTCTGGTCGGAGACTGGATCGCCCTTCTGGCATGTTTGTTAGGTTTTTGGGCCGGCCCAGGAGTTGCACGTCGTTCGCAATGTTGTCTGCTGGGCCGAGCCTTTGTTGAAAAGCCGGTCTATGAGGGACCCCGGATTTATGAACCCGACGGGTATCAATGTATGCTTTTTAGGTATCGATCTTGCGTAGCAGATCGGCACGGGTAGGCGGTGAATGTAACCTCGAGATGTTACAGTACAGATAGAGGCGGATCTAAAGGGGGGCATCTAAAGAGGGGCTGGGGGGCTCCAACCTCCCGCAGCTGGTGCATTAATAGAAATATGGGGAAGGTGAGGGAGAAAAGGAGGTTGAGAAAAGAAGAGAGAGAGGAAGAAGAAGAGACCATCCCTCCTCTATCGTGTTCCGCGTCCACCACTGACTACAGATCCTAGTCTCCGAGGTTACCAACCTACTGTATCATTCACGCAGGTCACACAGTTCACGGCCTGCTGCGCACGCCGGCCGGTTCGGCAGGACCAGCGGTGTGGCGCCGCGCGCACCGCACCGCACAGGCAGTCCGGCGTCGATGGATGGATCGGCACGACGGCACATGGCATGAGATCTTTGCCAACCACCGCGTCCGTAAGCACGTGGCCCTCGCAGCGCAGGACCCGTACGGACGCGGGCCCATTGGTCCGCGGAAAAAGAGCGGAAAGCCAGGGGAGCCGCTGCCGCCGATGGGCAGGGCAGGCAGGACAGGCGCCGTGGCGGGCAAAGGCCACGGCAAATCGAATCCATATCTAGCTAATGCAGCTTGGTTAAGCTAAAGCCACTGCCATTAGATTAGGGGGGCCGTTAAGCGCGCGCCAGCCGCAACGCGAATCGATTGCCATTTTGCTTTGCCCGTGACGGGACGGGGAGCCAGGGCCCATTGGGCGGGGCGGGAGGCACCGGTCGAGCTCAGCTGGGTCGGACGGGACGGGCGGCGCCCGGCGCCCCGCCACCACCAACCTCGTGCCGCTCCCGGGCGGCGCGGCCCTGCAGTCTGAACAGCCCTGCTCGCCCCTCACATGGGGCGTCTCCCGCAGGCCACATGCACGGAGCACCGGCCTCGCGGGGGCTACGGTCGTGCCGGTCCTCCTCGCTAAACAACTGGACGCGGCGACGGAAGTCGTCGTCGCGATTTTTAGTTGCGAGCAGTTATGGAATGGACGTCAGGCGGCACGCCGGCGCCGCTCCACCCATCGAGAAACCGTATTGTATTCGCAGTCGCAGCACAGTAAGAGCGTGTCAGACCGACGCGATCAGAGACTGCCTTAAACTAAAGCTTTTCATCTCTGCTGATTACCTCCTCGGACTGGATCGCACTAATGCGCGTCACACTGATCGTATAGATCACACTATTAAGCCATCACTAGCTAGGACACACAGTACGTTCTGTAAGCGGTGTAAGGTACCCGGGGATGTGATCATCTATGGCACGATCCGGCCATCCAGGACGGCGCTTATTGCTTGTGCTGTTGCGGCGTAAAGAACCACCGCCCTTCAGCATCCATCCGGAATCGAGGTTTAATTACGCCAATGAATTCGGCATTCCGTTCCGGTACGGGCTACTGGCGTCCGGCAAGGCGAGTGGCGATATATAAGGCGAGTCTACGTAAGGAATGGGCACCAACCAAATGGGCGGCCAGGCCAGTCCGGAAGCGCACAAAAAGGACCCGATCGATGGTCATCGGATGAGCTTAGCATCATGGGTTCGCGTTAAACAACTGGTTTCTGTGCTAACCTGATCGTCTTCGTCTTGGCGGGCATGATTAGCTCGCCAACTCCTCGAGTGCACGCGGAGGGCAAGGCGAAATGGCCGACACGGCGGCCGAATTCCAGGTGGCTCAGTTGGGGGACACATGTTTCTTCGAATTTCTGGCGAGACAGCGCTCCTCTCCATCACTCCATCACACCACGTCACCACCGGCAGGGCCGAGGCAGTGCAGTGCATACATACTGTAGCGCACACTGCAGCTTCATTGATCCAACTATCCAAGTCCAAGCCTGATGTCTCTAGTGACTGGTAATCCCATCAGAGTGCCTAATAGTGGGTATGAGGGTATGGAATCGATTCCTTAAAGCTTTGATGCCAGGGTTTTGGTGTTTGGCGTTTCTGCCGGTGCTGGGCACGGAATCTTTTCACTGTTCCCATGGCTGCCGGGAATGCTGACCCGAACAGTGGTTTCCGGCCTTCCTGCAACGTTTTCTGGACCTATACTCCGCTCATTAGCAGTAGGGCTTCCAGCCATAGCTTTCCATAAGCAGCAAGATGACACATGCATGGCCACGTCGGCGTTACTGCGCGTGACATGATTTTATTCCGTCCGTCTCGCAGTGGCAGGAGCAGCAATCACATCACGCGAGTCATCTCAAGTTGGAATGAAGCGATGTGGGCGTGTCGTGCGTGACATCCTTGTCATTCGCTCCCAGACCTGCAGACAAAGCACATCCTCAAGGATCGTGTCACGTCATGCTGTGATTCGCAGCTGAGAGCGGTGAGCCGTGTTTAGTTCCAAAATAACTTCAAAAAAGTATTACAGTATTCGTCACATCGAATCTTACGATATGTGAATGAAACATTAAATGTAGACGAAAAAAATTAATTACACAGTTTAGTGAGAAATTGCGAGACAAACATTTTGAGCCTAATTAGTCCATGATTGAACACTAATTGACAAATAAAAACAAAAGTGCTACAGTAGCCAAATTCTAAAATTCCCTCCAGCTAAACACGGGCTGACTAGTGGGTGAAAATGTGACAGGCAGAGTGAATTTTGGGTTCACGCAATGTCCGAGTCGACACAACGGCAGTGGCAGCAGCGCCAGAAAAGGGTCAAACGGCAACAGGCACTGTATCAGAGAGGCTTTTCCTTTCTCGTGATTACCATAAAGGCCGAAGAAGCGAGACAGATCTCATTTTACAATGTCAGTGCAGAATAACAAATTCACCGCACATATAAAGACAATAGCCAAAGGAAATCTCTGCAGATTACCATCTCTCTCTAGAGACTGAAAAACCATACTTGATACTTCCATAGTCATAACTGAAAAAGAAGTAGAGAGAGAGCAGAAGCATATGAACTGTGAGGAGGATAAGCATTCATGCTTTTTTCATCTGACATTTGGACCAGAAATATCCCGCTTACAGAGTGTATTCGGGGTGCATGGTCCACGCAAAGGGAGGTTGCCATTTGCAAGCTGCAAAGCATCCTTAATACTACATTCATTTTTGTTCCTGTGCTCTGCAGCTTAACCAATTTTTTTCAGTCTGTGCATGGCAGCAAAATCACATGAACGCACCAAACACCCCTCATAAATTATTCGTAGGACGCCAGCCCCACCTCCCTCCATGATGCATGGTCTCTCTCTCTCTCTCTCTCTCTCTCTCCCTTCTTCTGCCATGGCCCATCATCGTCCATGGACATGGGCCAGAGGCCCTCACGCCTCACTCATAGGCATAGCACGCTGGCAGCTGGTACTACAAAAACAGGCGTCATTTTTCTTTGCCTCCCTCTCCACCTTGTTTGGCTCCCTTCTTCTCCCTCCCTCGTATGAGCTGAGCTGAGCAAGGTTGGGTAGCAACATGACTAGTTTTATGTAGAGCAAACATCACAGCGAGAGAGGAAAAAATATCTTCCCTGGCTCAGAGATTCCCCACAAGACCAGCAGAAAAAAAAACATTTTCAGTTGTTTCTCTTGCTACTGAGCAAACATCACAGCTTTTCTTTTTGCTATTTTTCTTCACATTTTCTAGACACCCCTTCCTTCAGTGTTCTACAAATAAATACTAGTAGATTCACCCAACAGAAAAACAAAATTCTCATTTTGTTCTGGTCACTAAGTCCAATCTTCCAAAGCGATAGATTCATCCAGCAAGATCTTGGTTCTGTTCCTTCTGCCGTGTAGAAACGCGCCTTCAGTAGCAGCAGGCTTTCCATCTCTAGAAGCCCTTCTGCTGCCGCCAACTCTTCAAGCAAGTGAAGATTCAGCAGCAGGAAAAAGGCCAAGTCTCCGGCGATGGCGGCGGCGCTGGAGTGCTGGTCGGGGCGGCCGAGCACCGACGAGGAGATGGTGGAGCAGGTTCTCATGAAGCCCCACGGGCGTTCAGATGACTCCCTCCCGACCTGCGCCGACACTGCCTACGCCGGCGAGCCGACGTCGGCGCCCGCGCCCGCGCCCCCCAAGAAGTGGCAGCGGCTGGGCCGCAACTTTGCCGGCGCCATCGCCGCGTTCAAGAACACGCTGAGCCTGGATGGCGGCGGCCTCCCCCGCGACCCCTCACCGCGAGCCGAGAAGCCGCCACCGCTCCTCCTCCGTGGCCTCGCGCAGCTCTACTCCCGCGGCGCCGCCAATCAGCAGCTGCCGGAGAAGCTCGTCACTGACCTCCGCCGCCACTTCGATGCTCTCCCCAACAGGTTAGTGTCCCAAAGTCGCCACCTTTTTGCGCTTTTTTCCCTTTAGTACCAGTGTACCACCCAATTCTGCAACAAAGCAAGTTGTGTGTTACCCAGCAAACTTTTTCCTCTTTCGGTGAAATCTTGCAACTCTATAGAGAGTAAAACTTGCCACTGCCTCTATCAACGGCACAAAATTTGCTGCAATCTGGGATTAGTTTCGTATAAGCAACTAAGAGACGGATCTCTAACCTACTGTACATATCATTCACGCAGATCAAAAATTTGTGCAGTGAATTTTTGTTACTGTGTTTATGATTAAATCAAGTACATAATTCGATATCTAAGCTAAGGTGACAGTGCATTTCTCTCTGGATCTGCTGAATGGTCGCTGACAAGCAGAAATTTCGATTTTGCAGCTACGCACAGGCAGGATTTGACATGAAAGATGTCCTCTTGCATGCCCGCCTTGTAGAGCAGGCGACCGGTGAGGATCAGCCTGCAGTGAACATTGAGGAGGTTCATGGCAGAGGAAGTGGTGATGAAGGCACTGTTTTCCAGCTAACATTTGCTTGCACAGCCCCGCTCTCATGGCAGTCAATGTCAGGGTCACTAGACAGCCCTTCGTTCTGTTGCAAGAAGATCCAGATCTTTGAGAAGAGAGGGTTGACACTTGGTGTTGTCATGATACTTGTGCAAACTGGGAATGAGGCGCTCTTCAAGAACCGGGTTGAGTCTGCACTGAAATCGGTAGTAAAGAAGCAAAGAAAGAACAGTGGTGGCGTGAAGCTACCATTTGGGCTCTGCGGTTGTCAAGAAGAAGGATCGAGAAACTTTGATGAGGAGTCAATGTTTGATCCAGATGATGGTCAGGTACTTGACAATGAGCTGACACGCAGACCACAGCTTCCCACTCCCCTACCACAGTCATCAGTCTTCGTCTCAGTAGATGAATGGCAAACCATTCGCTCTGGTGGTGAGGAGCTCGGTCGCTGGATGCTGCGTTCTGAGGAGATTGAGTTCATTGATTGGGTTGGTGCGAATTCATTCCAGGGTGTCTATAGAGGAAAGAAGGTTTGGGTCAACAAATTGAGGGGCTGTGACATGGGAAGTGCTTACGACGTCGAGATCCGTCAGGACTTGCTGCAGTTGATGAGCTGTGGCCAGAGGAACATCCTCCAATTCCATGGCATTTGTTTCAATGAAAATCATGGCCTATGCATAGTGACGAGGATGATGGAAGGGGGATCAGTTCATGATATTCTTATGCAGAGAAACAAGAGGTTGTCCCTCCGAGACACGGTTAGGATCGCTCTTGATGTCGCTGACGCTCTGGCTTTCTTGAACAGCTATGGCATTGCATACCGTGATCTCAATGCTCGGAAGATCCTGCTGGATAGGCAAGGGAATGCTTGCCTTGGGGATATGGGCATTGTTACACCTTGTAGTAATGTTGGTGAGGTCACTGAGTATGAGACATCTGGGTACCGATGGCTGGCTCCAGAGGTTAGTTTTCTTGACTTGATTTACTGAAAATTCATGTTGTTGTCTGTAAGTAGTCTTTCTGAAAGTAAATGGTCAGTTGTAGAGGTTCTTGGTGAACGAAGTTGCTCTATTTTAAACTGCTAGTTTTCATCTGCTATTATGGAATGACCTATACAATATTCAATGCTATTATGAAGAGGTGTTGCTTTTCTTCTACAAGTTCATGTTTTCTTGTAGATCAGGCAGTCAGTTACAAATTTTTTCTCCCTTCTTGTACAGTCACTAACACAATAAAAAATGTTGGAAAAGACAATCATCTAGTTGACAATTATGCAAATAAGTTTTCTACTATCCCATTTTATACTGATCTGTCCTTGCTGAAAAGTTTAGTACCATGGTGTCTACAGATCATTGCTGGAGATCCTGAAACCGTCTCCGAGACCTGGATGAGCAACGTCTACAGCTACGGAATGGTGCTCTGGGAGATGATCACCGGAGAGGAGGCCTACTCCACCTACTCGCCAGTGCAAGCAGCTGTCGGAATCGCCGCCTGCGGGCTGAGGCCGGAGATCCCCAGAGATTGTCCTCCTTTCCTGAGGTCGCTGATGAACAGGTGCTGGGACAATTCCCCTCTGAAGCGCCCTCAGTTCTCAGAGATCATATCCATCCTACAAAGGCAGAACTTTAGATAGTTTTCTTTTTTTCTCTTCCTTTTTTCCTTCTATATATCAGTTTGGCTTGGCTGTTTGCCTAATCATGCAGGAAACTGCATCTGAGAAAATATATAATATGTGCAGAGGCTTGTTATATAATTGCTCACATCTCTTATCCCCTTGAAATGTCAGTCCATCTTGAATTAGTCCACAGAAGGTGACGTGAAAATGAAAGGGCGTGAGGATTTTAATTGCAGGATCTAGGGGGGGATGAAGGACAGTGTCTTGCCACATCCTCTACAATAACCTGCATAGTGCTTGTTATTAAGAGCTAGTACCATGCACAGCAATGTTTGGATGCATGCACATTGTGAGTACTAGCATATAGCAATGTTGGATCTACTGGGTGGTGGGTCTCTGGGGCAGGTCAAGATCTGCTGAGATTCCCCCGGTCTGACCTGCTCAAGATTGCGATGTGGCGTGACGAAATATGGGTCAAAATTGAGGAGCCGCTCTCACCTCTCATGTCCACGTCTGCTTCTACTCCATGTGTCTGCCTGCCTGTGATCACGCCATGTGCAAGTTCCATGGCCATGGCGGCCTCCCTATCAATTGGCGTCTCGTTTTCTTGGAGCAGTGTCCACCTACGACTTTGTCAAGGCCGCGTTTAGTTTGGCTGCTGAATCGGCGCCGCCGGAAATTCCAGCACTGTAGCTATACTGTAGCGTTTTGGTTTTATTTGGTAATAATTGTCCAATCTAATTAGGCTCAAAATGTTCGTCTCGTAAAGTACAACCAAACTGTGCAATTAGTTTTTGATTTCGTCAACATTTAGTACTCCATATATATACCACAAATTTGATGTGATGGGAAATCTTCTTTTTGCATAGTGCCAAAGTTGAGAGTTTTGGTGGAACTAAACGTGGCCCAAGACTTGGTGCCGCATCCTGGTAGCTTCTCTTTCTCTCTGATTCCATTTGCGCCGTGCCCTCCATTTGGGGATATACCCAATCCTTGAACAACGTGTGCCGGTTGCCAGAAAACAGTGGTGAATGATTGTGTCACCCCCACTTATTTCGTCTACCGCCGTGCATGGTGCACCCAAGCAGCTGAATGCAGCGGGTAGATCTGTCTCCACACTTGGCCACTTGGGTAGAGCCGTAAAGCAGGCACAGTGACTCATGAGGCGAAAGCCTTCCGCCATCCACCGGGCGAAGGCTCACAAATCACACTGTGAACAGGAAGAGCAGAGCAACAAGACAGGTCCATCTTGAGCTGGGGAGCGGTCTCTGTTTTCGTGGTGCACCATGCACGACTTTACAGTACGATGATGACTTGATGAGAGTTCACTTTCGTGCGAAACCCTTACCACTCGTACGAAGTTACCGCCTCCAAAACTCCAGCAGATCCCAATGTTGAACCAACATGATTCGCAGTTTGGCAAATTTGTTCTTATCGATTTGAAATAAGCAGGCAGGTTTCAGCTATCACGGATACAGGCTAGATGCTAGAGCTGTACTAGAACCTTCAGGGATGCCTAACAAGTGATACAAGACGACGGCCTGGTTTAGGTTGCCTAAAAGTTCTAAGTTTTTTCACGCTCTCTCCATTACATCAATTTTTAGACATATGCATGGAGCATTAAATGTAGATAAAAAAAGTAACTAATTACATAGTTTAGTTGTAAATCACGAGACGAATCTTTTAAGCCTAGTAGTCCATGATTAAACAAAGTTTGTTAAATACAAACGAAACATGCTACAGTGTCCATATTATAAAAATTTACAACCTAGGCCTTGTTTAGATTGGAGATAATTTCAACCCGATGAATAGTAGCACTTTCGTCTTATTTGGTAAATATTGTCCAATCGTAGACCAACTAAGTTCAAAAGATTCATCTCGTGATTTCCAACTAAACTGTGCAATTAGTTATTTTTTTTACCTACATTTAGTGCTCCATGCAAGCGGCTAAAAATTGATGTGATGGAGAGAGAGTGAAAAAACTTGGAATTTTGGAGTGATCTAAACAAGGCCCTAAACAAGTCCGACATCGTGAAGGACCATGGCAAGCACCAGCCATACCTTCGAATCATAAATTTTCTGCAGCTCTGCATCATATTCTCACGCAGCTCTCGGCTCTCGCTGAAACGCATTGACGCTTTCTCCACTCGGAGCCCATGCCTGCGACCGTCCGCTGGCAGCAGCAAGCCTGCAAGCCAGCAACGGCAGGTCGCTGCTGCGTCTCACCCTCTGTGAACTGACAGAGAAGGCTTCTGTACTCTGTACGGTTTCAGATCTGAGACGATGTGACGTACTACTACCCCCTCCGTCCAAAAACAGCGCAATTCTGGCTTGGGAAAAGTCAAACAGTTTTAAATACGACCAACGCCCTCTTCGCTCGGCCTTAGCTTATAAACCGTATTTTTTCAGTCACGAATAATATTTTTTTCTCACATTAAATCAGTAAACAGTACTTTCAGCTATGGCTTATCAGCCAAACAAGCCCAAACGAACATGACGCAAATTTTTATATATAAAAACTTATTAACATTTATGATACCAAATAAGCATTATTAGATTACCTATAAAATATATATTTTCATAGTAAATCTAATTTGAGACAAATATTAATACTCTTTCTATAAACTTGATCAAACTTAGAAAAGTTTGACTCGTTGAAACCTAGAATTGCATTACTTTTGGGATGGAGGAAGTACATTGTAGTGGTATAGCCTTGTGACAGAAACAACGTCCAGGGCTGGTGATCAGATTAGCAGGTTAACACACTCGGGGCAGAAATAACAGCAAGTCCACCAAATGTAATTTGTGAACAAAAAAGTCAAAACATCATCATCACCATTTTAGAGCATATGGCTGCGTCAATTCAAGTTTGAAAAATATTCAGGGGGACAAATGGGGTGAATAGCTCCAGGGTATGCTATTCATTCACCAGTAAAAATTCCATGAGGGCAACAAACATGGGAGATCATGAACTCTGGTTTTTAGGCCTTTTTTTCCTTATTTGCGAAGACCACTGGAAGTAAAACTCTCAAGATCTACTCGGAAATGGGGCAGGCTTCCTCAAAAGCTTGCTGCTCCTTACGGCAGAAGTCGAATTCGTTGGTGTAGTAATACATGCAGCCAGCATACTCATCCATTTCCTTAGGACACTTTTGGTGAAGTTCTTTCAACCTGGGAGTGGAAACATTACTTGTCAAAGATGGCATGGGAAGGACAGAAGTGATATAGACTTAATGGAAACCACATTGCTGAGGCAAACAACGCTTAACAAGAAAAACAGGGTCCTACAAACTACAAAATACATGTAGCGTTCAAAAAAAAAAAACGCTAAGAAAGAAGCATACAGTCACACATGCTATTCAACTAAAAAAACAGCTACAACATTGGGTGGTAGTCTGCACTTCATTTCAGAATTGGAAGGGATAATAGGATGCACAGCCCCTGAATGGATCCCCCTCCCAGAAACTAACCAAAAGAAAATGAAATTCCTAGTTGGTTTTGGGATAAAAAGATAGGTCTGTATGTCATCAATTACTCCCTCCATTGTAAAATGTATGTTGGTTTAGTTTTATTCTAAGTAAAACTTCTTTAACTTTGACCAGGTTTATAGAAAAATATATTACATCTATAATACCAAAGAAATACATTATCAATACACATTTCAAGGTGGGGTTAATGAAACTAGTTTTATGTTGTAGATATTGGTGCATTTTTCTATAAACTTAGTCAAAGTTAGAGAAGTTAGACTTAGGACAAAACTAAAACAACCTACATTTTGTAACGCATCGAGTACCAAACAAGAAATAATAAAAACACATACTGACATGTGGCCCAGGATCCACATGTCAGCCTCAACAGGTGTCGTATTGTAGAACATGCACTTTTTTGTGCATATTCTCCAGCTTTTAAGAATGAAAGATGCCCTATGCAACTCAAAGCTCCAGAATTGCAGATCTGGTAGATGTCAGTAATATGTCAACACTGATAATGTACTTTGCCTTTTCTTACTTTATGTCTTGTGTAACCTATATACATTAACTCCTCAGCCTCAATGCTCAAGGAGGAAAAAATGACACAAAGCACAATGACATCACCAATTCAACCACATCAGGCTTCTAGTCGACAAATTGGTGAACTATAAGGGGTTCATTTTGACAGGTGCCAAACAGAGTAAGATATCAAGCCAGGTTGACGTCACCAGTTCTTTTTGTTAAAAAAAAATCATGTGAATGTGAATATGTGCTGATGCTGAATGAATTCGCCAAAGCCTTTTCTCATTTCATTTCCTCTCACTAAAATGTACTGTATAAAAGAAAGTATGAAGTTGGGCAAGACACCGACAGTTCCTCCATCGCAATTCATGCTACCCTACTGGATAATAGTGAGAAACATGTCCTAAAATCCCAGGAGATGTAATGCAAGTTAGAACTGGTGTTAAAGCAGTGTTGTCACCATCTTATCAATTTAAACTCAGTACCATAAACTAGTACATCCCTGAAGGTGGATACTTGTTGACTTCGGTGCATATTTGCTTTCCTGAATCACTTGTTGACATTATATTTAAATTCACTTGATTAATTTGTGGATTGCCACATTGTACTCATGGTGACTTGAGATTCTCTGGGCTCTGGCCGCGGAAGAACATTCTAATCACAGAATAAGTATCTATGGTGGATAAAAATTTAACAAATGCAGCTCAGATCAAGTAGGCAGAAATGTGATCTTAGCTGCAAACAGCAAGTGTTATCACGCTAAATAGTTCAATTTAGCTTACTTGAGAGCAATGTGGAAAGCAATTACATGGAAGATCTACAAAGTTGGGAAGTTCTTAGCCTTCTACTGGAAGATATGGTGCTGTGACACAACTAGGGCTTCCGGCAATTGGTTCTAGCTAGCCAAGCTTCCAGTTTGGGACAGTCACACCAAATCAACCAATGTAAGATGATATGGTAGGTAGCAGTTATGTATTTTAGCTGTAACGACCAAGTATAAAGTTAAGCATTGTACAGTCGCTTATT